CTAATGGCACTAAAGCTATCATTTAGACCCATTAAAATCTAAAAATGCTTATGTTGATTTAGGTGTGTTATGAATTCTCTTGTTTCAGGAGTTATAGGCAGAGTTGAAATTAGAGCACTATACTCATCCGACAACAGTTTAAGTCTAGAATGATAAGCAGAAATACTTGACGTACCTTGAGAAACTGCAGCAATTTTGCGATGAAAATTGTAGATCCTTGAACCATTGATTTTGTCCTGTAAATCAGTCCACACCTCATGAGTATTACTGCATAGACTATCCCATTCACTAATTTCGGCGACATAGTGTTCATGATCCAAGTCAAAACCGTAGTATTGACACGCCCCCAATCCTCACCTAGATCATCAGTAAATTGATCCTTAGGGCATGTACTATTTATAAACTCTAATTTTCGTTTAGCTCGCAACGCGATCTTCATTTCTCTACTATAGACTGAATAATTCTCGCCGCCAATCAATCGGACTGAAATTATTACATTTCCTGGCGCATATGAAGGTTGTAGGTACAACGGATGTCGCGGATTATCAATGTCTAAAGCAACCGTTACAGATTTACTCAGAAATTAGGGATTTGAGGATAAGAAAAGAAATCATTGAAAATTCTCTCAACAATTTCATAGAACAACTCTCAAACCAGAGTCTCAGCTTCGATCGATTCTCTTTAGCTTTGATACCATGTTAAATTCACCATTGTTGAGTGGATGTTAAGATTAGCTAAGAATGAAGACGAAGGCTAGGGAGAGAAGCTTCTGGACAGTTGTATTTTTTGTGTATTGAGAGAAAAGAAAAATCAATTACAATTCTTTACTACTGCTATATACACGTGTATATATAAACATAAAAATATCTCACTTAATTAGCTCCAAACCTACACCTAAATCTGTTATAACTAATCTCTAATATCCAACTAACACTATGCTAAAGTGACTGCCTGTCACTCAGTCCTCAGTCCACAGCCTCAGCTTCTCACAGTTCACATCTGTCATCCTAGCACTTCAACAGTATATTGATTTAATATAAATACAAAGATCCTTTGTTCCAGAGATCCAACTAACATAGAAAGATATTCATTTGTCTTTTTCAATGGAAAGTGAAAATGTGGATAGGCTTCTCATAATCTCCAAAGGTTAAAGGAGCAGTTTCTTTATTACATGTGTGTTTATATATGTCCAACTTTACTAGAAGCACAGACAAAAGGAGATTACGACAAACTAAAAGACAATCTACTATCTAGATCTCTTTAATCTTTATCATAACAATTTTCGATTTGAATCATGGCATTATAGATTTTATAATGTGACACTTAGAGAAAAAAGTGAAAAAAAATAGTATTTTCACATAAAAGGAAGGAAGGGGAGCTTTGGACTAGTAGTTACTTTGTTTCCGTTAGAGCCGTAAAATCAGTCATGGATGCTTGTATCAGAGTTGTGTACGGTCAAAACCGATTGACTCAATCGTACGGACTGGTCGATACGATAATGTTTCGATCAAAGGGTATGTGCATGACAAGTTCGGTCGAGGTCCGAAGTAAGGGCGTCGAGTTTCGAGCTATAAGACCGATCAATGACAAGCTCGGTATGACAAGATCGGTATTGTTATCGAACTCATATCCAAATTGAACTACGAGGCAAAGCGGAGATTATCGAAGATGCATAGACCAACCAACACTCACCCCGAATATCGAGATCCCAAGTCAGAATCGAGCTCGAACCAAGGCCGAGGGCTCGATCCAATACCGAGCTCAAGCCAGTATCGAACTCGCAGACAAGAGCCATTGCAACTGCACTATGGGAGAGAATCTTGGCGGAAATCAAGGAAAAGATAATTCATCGTGGGTCCTCCACTATATATTTTTATTATTATAGATAAAGTAGGATCACTCTAATATAAGAGGGGGATTTTAACACATTGAAGGGGATTTTTCACGTTGCCTTATTCATGAATATATTCCTTTTTCTCTGCCTTATATTTCATTCCATTTGCCAAATATAGAGATTTTTACATTTTACTCTACAATTCGTATCAAATTATATCACGTGTTCTTAGAACCATACACAAATTTAACTCTATCCGATTTTTTGAGTAAACAGTTTGGCACTCACCGTGGGGCTAAGGATAACAGTGGTTATTTGATACGAATCTGAAAAAATACGCCATTGTGTTTTGTGCTTGTTTCCGAAAATATCTTGGATTTCGGATTAATAACGACTAACTATCAATCAAATGACTTCACCAATCGACAACGAAGCCGGTCTTCAAGATGGGAACAATAAATTGACACCCAGTACCGAAAGACCACTTGTAAACGCCATTGGAGCTCGAATCGGAGCGCCGATAGATATCAATTCGCATGTAGCTATTGAGACTAACCTACATGCTGAACCAGAAAATAGCATTCATGGTGGCACTCGGTCTGCAGCTCGAGATACCCATAATGTCGAGGAAAATGGCGTTAGCTTGCGCATGATTTTTGAAATGTTACAAGCCCAACAAATAGCGATAGCTCAGTTGCAGAGCCAAACTCAGGTACAAAGCAGGTCGGAGCCTAATCCGCTTCAAGAAATCACCAACATAACGGAGCCAGCCATAGTGAAGTCAAACGAGCAAGAATCGGGGACTACTCCCAAAATTGCTAAATTGATCGAGGAACTCACAAAGCGAGTCGAAGCCAATGATAAAAAAGTAAAAACTTATAACTCTAGGGTCGATCAGATCCCGGGAGCTCCACCAATGATAAAAGGGTTGGATTCCAAAATATTCGTGCAAAAACCTTTTCCCTCGAGCGCGGCCCCAAAATCAATCCCCAAAAAATTCCGTATGCCCGAAATACCCAAAAATAATGGAACGACCGACCCTAACGAGCACGTCACTTCTTACACGTGTGCCATCAAGGGCAATGATTTGGAAGATGATGAGATCAAATCTGTATTATTAAAAAAATTCGGTGAAACCCTGTCAAAGGGGGCAATGGTATGGTATCATAATTTACCATCTAACTCTATTGATTCTTCTGTTATGCTTGCAGATTGCTTCATAAAAGCACACGCCAGAGCCATAAAGGTCGAAACCAGAAAGTCGGACTTGTTCAAGGTAATACAAAAGGATAACGATATGCTAAGGGAGTTCGTATCTCGTTTTCAAATGGAACGAATGGATCTCCCACAAGTCACAGATGATTGGGTTGTTCAAGCTTTCACTCAAGGTCTAAATGAGCGGAGCTCGATGGCTTCATGGCGGCTGAAGCAAAATCTGATCGAGTACCCAGCTATTACTTGGACCGATGTGCACAATCGATATCAATCCAAAATAAGAGTCGACGATGACCAGTTGATTTCTAGGTCCGTTACTAAAAGAACTACCAAGCAAAGGTTGATCAGAGATCGATACCGACCATATAGCGGAAATCCTCCAAACCCGGTCTGATAAAATAGCAATCAACTACCAAGCAATTGGAACGTGTAACGCCTAAAACGATACTACCGCTGAGTATCCGAGGCCTCTTTAAAATCAACCTCGTATACTGGGGGGCTTTATCATTGAATGTATCTGTGATGATTATCAAGTTCGGTGCAAAGGAAGTTACTTCATTATTTCATGACAAATAGTGTCTCGACAGGAAACGTTGTAAGAGCCAAATGGTCAAAACGAACCATGTTTATGTAGTTGGCCCGAGCCCTGACGCAAATCATGAACACATGTATAATGACTTGCAAAGAAAGCCATCTTCTTTACCGATATCCTATGTTCAAGATTTATTATGCAAACAGGATCGAGTTCGAGCAAGCACTCACTCGATCACTAAGCCTACGGGCTACTTTTATTTCGAGTTCGAGCAATCACTCACTCGACCATTATGCCTACGGGCTACACTACATCGAGTTTGAATCATTCAATCGACTACTAAGCCTACGGGCTACGTTTCCGAGTTCGAGCAAGCACTCACTCGACTATTATGCCTACGGGCTACATTACATCGAGTTCGAATCATTCACTCGACTATTAAGCCTACATGCTACTTTTATTTCGAGTTCGAGCAAGCACTCACTCGACCATTACGCCTATGGGCTATATTACATCGAGTTCGAATCATTCACTCGACTATAAGCCTACGAGCTACTTTTATTTCGAGTTCGAGCAAGCACTCACTCGACCATTACGCCTCCGGGCTACATTACATCGAGTTCGAATCATTCACTCGACTACTAAGCCTACGGGCTACCTTTATTTCGAGTTCGAGCAAGCACTCACTCGACCATTACGCCTACGGGCTACATTACTTCGAGTTCGAATCATTCACTCGACTACTAAGCCTACGGGCTACTTTTATTTCGAGTTCGAGCAAGCACTCACTCGACCATTACGCCCACAGGCTACATTACTTCGAGTTCGAATCATTCACTCGGCTACTAAGCCTACGGGCTACTTTTATTTCGAGTTCGAGCAAGCACTCACTCGACCATTATGCCTACGGGCTATATTACATCGAGTTCGAATCATTCACTTGACTACTAAGCCTACGGGCTACATTTATTTCAAGTTCGAACAAGCATTCACTCAACCATTACGCCTACGGGCTACATTACATTGAGTTTGAATCATTCACTCGACTACTAAGCCTACGGGCTACTTTTATTTTGAGTTCGAGCAAGCACTCACTCGACCATTATGCCTACGGGCTACATTACTTCGAGTAAAATTACTGATTTCTTCGAATTCAAACGAACACTTGACTATTTAAGGCTGAAGGATGTTCGTGCCCGATAAAGCAAAGGGGACTACCCACAAGGCCCGAAGGCAACAGAGATTAAAATTTAAACTATCTATTTAGCTTAAAAGGCTATTTTGCTTCAAAAGGAAGAAAGATTTATATTTACAATTCTTTTGTATAGAGGTGGCTACTCTGCCAAAAGGAAATTCTTTATACAAAAACCGAGAGCGGTATCAAAAGAACGCAGCAAACGACCTAAAGCCCTAAATGACTCAATCTTCATCGGAAGCCGTATTCTCGGCATCATCCTCATCTTCAGACTCCCCCGAGTCATCGGAGTCCTCCTCAGGAAAGGCCAACCTACGAGCTTTGTTCTCCTCCGCCCTGGCGACTTCAATCTCGGCCCCAATATCGAAGCCCTGAGCTCTGACCTTCTCGAGAGCCTCTCTCCAAGCTTGCCATTTTGCATGTTCGACCATGCTCTCAGCTTTGGCTTGGTTAACCTCGACATCGATCCTGAACTGAGCCACTTTGGCATCAGCTCTTTTATTTGCCTCGATCACCTCAGATCTGGCCACTTCAAGTTCTTTAGCCAAATCTGCTTTATCTGAAGTGGCCAAATCCAACTGATGCTGAAGCTCTTTCATCTTTTCGATCAGCCCCGAAGCATTTTCTTTCGCAGATCTAAGCTGGGCATCAGACAGCTCCAACTAAGCTTGAACGACTTCTTTTTTTTCGAGGCAAGGATATCCATACACTTTTTAAATTCTTCTGCCTCGGCCAGTAGCGCATCTACCTGTGAGTTAAGCCGTCCAATCTGCTCGATCCTCTGCCGACCCTGCAGAATTGCATCATTAGTGGTTATCTCTTTTTCGTCTTCACTATCATGGAACATTCGGAATACCTGCTCAGTCATCTCCTCATGCTCTTCCCGAGCCGCTGTCAAATCTGCTCGAAGTTTTTCACAAATGAGCCTGTACGAATCACTCTTCTTAGTAAGGCTCCGACCCTCGGCATCATGCTCCTCCCGGATTCGAAGAAAGGCCTCGTGATGCAACACTGAAGCCTGCAAACAAAAGGAGAAACATTAGAATTACCTACAACTCTATGTGTATAAGAAGTGGCAAAAACGCCATCAAAGTTACCCGATTCAAAGCATGCTGGGCCTCGTTGAAGAGATAAGCGGGACCCACCGCATTCATCACTGATTGATATTCTCCAGTCACCAAGGACCGAAAGTAACTGGCAATCCCCACAGGGGAAAAAAAATTCAGGTATCCGCAAGTACGGAGAGCACTATCTTCCGCCTTCGGTCGGGATCGATACTCGGGGCCGAAAATCGGTCCACCATCTTATGAATCGATGAAGGCTCGGTAGAACCCGACCACGATACTTTTTTGGGTACCAGCATTCCACCAAAACCGGTAACCTCCTCCGAGGCACCTGACTCAAGCCCCTCCAGAAAACCATGGATATCAGCCGACTCCTGAATACCCTCATAGGACCAATCCTCCAATATGACGGCCTTTCGAATCATGGCATTCGAAATCTGAGGGGATCCGCCAATGTCAACTATCCCAAACTCATCCTTTGAAATATCTTCTACTTCCCGAGAAGATCCACCCTCGGTATCCCTTTCAATTATCTTAGCTCGAGAAGGGATAATCTCGGCTTCTTCTTGTTCTGGGATTATGGCCAAGGTTCCCTGATTTGCTTCCACCAAATTGGAAGACTGTTGAATCACAACATTAGCCCGTACGCAGGCTAAATTCTCCTCTCCTTTTTCGGGCTCGTCCCTTAAATGGAGGGCCACTTCCGAAGACATAACACCAAAGCCCCCATTCGGCTTTCGAGATCACTTAGCCGGTTTCTTCTTTTCCGAGCTCGGGGAGCCCGATACGTCTTTTCTCTTCCTTTTTTTTACCTGCTACAGGGCAGGAACTTCTTCGCCACCAGATGGGGGCCTCATGACTACATCTTTCCCGAGTCCTACAAAAGGGAAAAGGGAGATTTACCATACAAACCGATGAAGAGACAAAAAGATTTACCATGACTGCGGGCCTCCCATCGACACTTTGATAATTCGACCCAAGCACGCTCGGAGTACGGTCTCTACAACACTAGACTTTCGACCCATTGTTTAAGATCCGGGATCGGTTCCGGCATTCGAGCTATGGTTGTGTTAAGAAAAGAAAAATGGATCAACAAAATAAAAGGCAATCATAAAATCAAAACGGGCAAAGAGAAAGGTTTACTCACGGCTCATATTCCATTTCTCGGGAATTGGCAAGTCATCGGCAGTGATCAAGTCCGAGGTTTTGATTCGAATAAAATGGGCCATCCAACCCCGATCCTGAGTCTCATCTATGCTCAAGAATGGCGCTTTGGTTGCTCGGCGAGCAAGCTTGATCAACCCTACTCGATAAAGTCGGGGACTGTAAAAGGCGCATAAGATGATCGAGGGTGAAGATACGCCCCTCGACCTTGCTCGAGAAAAATCGAAAAAGAATCACTATCCTCCAAAAGGAAGGGTGTATTTGGCTGAGGGTCACATCGTACCTCTTACAAAAGCCAACGATGACAGGGTCTAGAGGTCCCAACGTGAAAGGATAAGTGCAAACACTTAAGAACCCTTCGACGTGGGTAGTAATTGATTCATCAGGCGATGGGATTACAAGGAGTTTATTATCCCAGTTGCATTCTTGTATGACTTTATCGAGAACTTTTTCAGTAATTGAACATTGGTACCTCGACATCGGCTCACACCGACCCAGTATCGAAGAAGGCTTTTCAATTTTAAAATCACCTACAGTCGAACATCCTACCGGAACGAATTTCTCTGGGCGGGGCTCTTCCACATCCTCGCCACCAGCAGGTCGAGATAAAGAAGCGGTCTCTTTTTGCGGAACAGTTTTAGACATTTTTGCCATTTAAAATTCTGTGAACAAAGAATGGGAGTATTTGGTATTTTGAGAAAGAGTTTGCAGTAAAACTCACAGATTTACAGGTAGAAAACTCAGAAAAGACGAAAAAGAGCTTAGAAAATTTGGAAGATTGAAGACGTAAAAGTGATGAATGGTGGAAGGAAAGGCTATTTATAGATTGAAGCAATGACGGTTCGATATCAGCGGTGGCCGAGCACCGTCTGACACACATTTAATGCCTTGGTAAAACCGAACCGATGGGACAGCTATCACATACGTCATGGTTGAGATCGATGTAAATGTCAGCATATATCTGATCCAGCTATTGGAAAATCATATCGTTTCTCGCCACATCCTTTTTCGAGAAATGAGGGGACTATCTGTGTACGGTCAAAATCGATTGAGTCAGTCGTACGGACTGGTCGAGGCGATAATGTCTCGATCAAAGGGTATCTGCATGACAAGCTGGGTCGAGGTCCGAAGTAAGGACGTTGAGCTTTGAGCTCTAAGACCGATCAATGACAAGCTCGGTATCGTTATCGAACTCATATCCAAATCGAACTACGAGGCAAAGCGGAGATTATCGAAGATGCATAGACCGACCAACACTCACCCCGAATATCGAGACCCCAAGTCAGAATCGAGCTCGAACCAAGGTCGAGAGCTCGATCCAATACCGAGCTCGAGCTAGTATCGAGCTCGCAGACAAGAGCCGTTGCAACCGCACTATGGGAGAGAATCTTGACGGAAATCGAGGAAAAGACAATTCATCGTGAGTCATCCACTATATATTTTTATTATTATAGATAAAGTAGGATCCCTCTAATATAAGAGGGGGATGTTAACACATTGAAGGGGATTTTTCACGTTGCCTTGTTCATGAATATATTCCTTTTTCTCTGCCTTATATTTCATTCTATTTGTCAAATATAGAGATGTTTACATTTCACTCTACAATTCGTATCAAGTTATATCACGTGTCCTTAGAACCATACACAAATTTAACTTTATCCGATTTTTCAGATAAACAAGAGTATATTATTTTGTTTTCCGAGCTGTCTTTTTTCTCGGCATGATAAAAGTAAGATTTTAAATAGTACAACTATGTCGCAATCCAATTGCAGGTAATTTCGTTGAACACAACTTCGGATAGAGGTATCTTGTATGAACTAAGCAATAAAAGAGTGTCTTTTTTGTTTTTCTGTTTTCATTTTTACTCTGCATAACATAATAATGACATAAATGAATTAAGGCATTATAGATATTCGACGAAGCAGTCTTGCATCTAAGTGGATACGACAATCCTATAAAAGTAGGGATAAAGCAAGAAAAACAAAGTTGTAAATATTATTATTATTTTATTTTATTTTTGAAAAAAAATCTTGGAGCATCGGTAAAGTTAATTTCGTGTGATCTATAGGTCACGGGTTCGAATCGTAAAAGCAGTCATTAATACTTGTATTAGGATATGATGTCTACATTATATCTCTTAAAATATAGCTTATTCCCAAACATTATATGAATGCATGATATTTTGTGTACCAGGATACCTTTAGATAAGAAGAAAGTTATAAAATAAAATGCTGCATATATCAGAAGAAAAGGACAAAGCAAAACACAACGTTACAAGAAGAGAAGGATTTACTTTATCTCTCCCATATGTCATTTTAAGAAAGAAATATAAGTGGGAGAAATGTAAATTGAGAGAGGTGGCAGACAGCAAAGACATTAGAACTTGACCCTAGATATTGACACGTCGACTATTGGATGCTGATGTGTCACCACTTGGTACATTTAAGTAGGGGTTGAGCTCTGCTCGGAGGCCCTCTTCTTTTGATTTTAATGCATGTGTAGTACTAAAATATGTCATCTTTATATGCATCGAATTTGCAGGTCAAATGTCTTTGATCCTGTTTTAAAACACGCAGTCCTTGTAAATGATTATTTCCTGTTTAAAAGGCGGGCTAATATAATTCAAATTGACCTATACGAATTTATCAATTTTTTAAATAAAAAATTACTATGTTAGATAAGCCATATCAAAGAAAAAATATGATAATTAAATAAATTATAGAAAAACGAACAATCAATGGCTATAAACTAGCCTATCCTCGACATATTTCAGTAACCTTGGACAGGTTAATGATTCAGTTAAAATTGATCCATTTCAATTCAGACAGGCTTTGTGAAATTTTTTAACATGTTAATGGGTAAAAGGATTGGGGTTAGTTGAATATATTTTCATTCATTTCAATCTGCCTATATGACATCCTTAGTTTTTCTTTCAAAGATTCAGCAACACCTATACTTTGTTGTTACTTTAATGTTAGGCGCATTTCGAGAAGTTGTGGAACGAGAGTTTAGAGCAATGATACAATTATTTTTGTGTGATGTATAAGTTAAGGGTTCGAATAGTAAAATTAGTCTTTAATATTTATATTAAGATATATATTTATATTACACTCCTTAGGGTATTATCCTTCTCCAAATCACGTGTAATTATGAAATGTCTTAGTGTATCCGATTGCCCTCTACATTTCTAGAAGTTGTCATGCATGTAAATGTTTGCTGAGTTATATTCAATGGTCTTTGCAATNTTTACTACTATTAATAAGGGAGGATGGGGAGCTCCTTCCGGTCAAAGTGAATTGACTAAAAAGCCCAAATCACTTCAGTTTATATCCTCCTTGCCTATCTGGGGTATTTTTGGTATTCAGATCTAATGTGCTTTAAATATTCGCCTTTATTTATCTGTCTAGACAAAATGCTGAAACAGTGGGTCCCTTTAATTTGCCATTTACACTTTCAGCAAGGTTGAAAGCTATTATAATTCATGGGCCCACTTAAATTTATTATTTCACACCATAATTTTTCAATTTACGTTCCTATCCACATGTTTAGATTAATGATTATGTGAACTCCACTTAAATTTATCAATCTCACATCCAATTCCTCGTTGGATCAACAACATACCCAATATATTTTTTATAGTATGTGATCTGGAGAGGGTAATGTATACGTAGACCTTACGCTTACCTCGCAAAAGTAAAAGGACTATTTTAGATAGATTTCCAGCTCAAGAAAAACAATTTACATCAGGTTTGAAAAATAAATCCTCCCTTAAATGGATACACTAATTAGACACTATACTAATTATGTAATATTTAAATTGTGTAAATAATTTTTTTTCTCTTGCTTTATAGTTTAAAAGCGAGTAACATTTTCTGTCTTAATATTATATTTGATATTAAGAATAAACGAATATTAACTACTATAAC